AAAATGGTTGGATTTTGTTACATAGTATGTACATTCTTATATAGTTTTATATTAAATTACATCTTACTAAAATGCAGATATCCAGAAATAATGGTTACTGATCTGCCTCCCTCTGTTGAACCTGCCTCCTCCTGCCTATAGCCCATCAACCTATGTTCCCACTGACCTCAGAGGAAACACTTTCCCTGTGCTTCCCCAGGTCACTCTTTCGTCCCAGTGCCAGATTCTAGGTCTCCTTCAGTGCCATCTACTTTGGATTTGGGTTGGGGTTTGGAAAGAGTCTGCCAAAAGGGTCTGAAAAATCAGGCCAGGCAGCCAAGACTCACCAGGCTTCCAGTGAATGTAGCCAAGGACTAGCCTGAATATGGGCTGCTTTTACACTGTCTCTAGCTCCAGAGCCATCTTATTTTCCACCAGGATGGTACACTCTACACTCCACTGTGTCCATGGCCTGATACCTTTTAATACCAGTCTGATTTCTTTCAGCCTGTCCTCTTTAATGTGGGTGCCTTAAACAACATATATGGTTTCTTTCCTGCAGGGATTTTTCAGACTCTTCATACAGGTTGACACATTGTGAATCTCTAAGAGAGTAATGCTGATTATGGAGTCTCTGTGGCATATGTGATCTCAGGTTCATGGAGCACTCCCCAAACCAGCACCCACACAGTGCACCCTGAGAACCTCTGCCCAAAAGAAGCCAAATATTATAATGCCTCCCAACTGACTCCCCAAACCCCTCCCCCCAAACAATAGAAGCTTTCCAATGGAGCTGAACAGCTAGAGCACTACCCTCAGTAGGCAGCAAAGGTGGGCCTGGGGAAGGCAGTCTTCCCCCTACCACCCTCCCCTGACATGCACCAAGGAAAGGGGGAGGCTAGAGGCAAGGACACCTCTGGGCCAGCCTTCTCCTGGACTCCCAGGTTTGGGGAAGACAATGTGGTGTTTAAAGGGAGTGTCAGGGGCCCCTTGGAACTGTGGCCCAACCTCTGGACCTCTAAAACCCCAAGCCTCGAGTCCTCCTTGCCAAGGTCCTGGTGGTACCCTGAAGTACTGAAGCAGCAGAGTATTCTCAGCACAGAAGCTCTCCACCCAACCCCAACCCTGGGCTTCTCCTTGGTGAGGGATGAGGGCCCAGCCCACAGCAGGGGAAGCAAGCCCTGGAGTTGCAGAACTAGTTGAACAACACTGAGCTGGCCAGCCTCCTGCCCCAAGTGCCCACACCAGTCCTGAGAAGGTCTGGAAGGAGCCACTTCAGTGAGAAAAACCAGGCAGGAGGAGGCTTAGCTAAACAGGGAGGAGTAAGCAGCACCTTCACCCTGCCTTGGCCCCAGACCCACCTCGGGGGCAGGAGATGAAAGGGGAAAGCCGAACCCCTCAACAAAAGGAGCCAGGACAGGAGAGAGCAGGAGAGTGACATCATCGAAGCTCTGGACAGTGGGATGCCCAGATGAGGTTTCCGCTTCCTCCCCACTGCTGAGGGACCAGCGAGAGGAAGAAGCAAGGTCAGCAGAGCCTCAGACAGTCCGAGACACCTTTAAGACAGGGGCGAGGGGGAGGCTGGTGGGAATGCCTTCTTCAGGAAGCCTCCTCTGACAGCCTCCTCACCTACCAGCCCCCACAGTTCCGTGCACCATTCCTGAACCCTGGGGGCACTGACCCTCTCTGTCCCTTCCTGTGGGGGACTCAGGCCCCCGTGGTGTTGGGAGAGTCAGAGCTGACTCCCATCCCTGGCTGAGCCCTGTGCTCCTCCCCTCACCACAAAATTTGCAGTTACCAGATCTGCTGGCGGGGACCCTGGACAAGAAAACTTTGTAAGTTCAAAGAACTATTTACTATGCAGGGACATTGTTAATTTTTAATAAAGCCCTCCCCCAAACATGTGTGTGTGTGTGATTTACTTGCAAGACAAATACTGCATTTCAAATAGGGATCAGCTCAGAGACAAATGAGAAAATAAGTCATCTGTGCCAAGCTAACAGATATTTGACCATCCAAGGACCACGTCACAAAGAGAAGCTATGGCCAATACGCCACCTTCCCAAGTAGATACACTAGGTAGGAACTTGGAATGAAAAGGAAGAGAGAAGAGGTTCCCAGATGGCCTTACCCTGTGGACAGCATTCTTCTTGGAAATACTTGGTGGAGGTGTGAGAGTGGGTATGAGACCATGTGAAGGTCCAGGAGAGGCTGAAATGGGAGGAAGGCTCAGAAACACGACTGGGGCCATTAGTTCATTCTTGGAGGGGTCTGAGTGACACCTGTCCCACCTTGAGAGATTCACCTGGGGAGCCCTGGGAGGAACTGACCTCAGCAGCTGGAGATGAGGCTCACTAGGGGGCACTCTTTCATCACCCTGGTCCTGCCCCAGCAGCCGTGAACACCTGCCCTGGGCTGTTTTTCTACAAGGAACCCTGCAAACCCAGGGGTCTCCTTGAATTCCCTGCAGCCTCTTGCCAAGAGCAGAGGGTCTACCCAAGCAACAATGGCACAGTCACCAAATTAGTACCCATTTGGTATACGGCAGCTTTACAGAAAAGGCAGGTGTCTGGGTTACACTGATATTTCATCTTCCCTTCTTTACTGTTTGAATGTGCCAATTCTTAAATACCCATCTCGATCCCCATCCCCAGCCTGATGTCTGCCCAGATCAGAATAAACTGAAGGGTGAACTCCTGTAATGTATCTTTTTTTTTTCACCAATATCCACTAGACACATCTTCCTTGCAGGAGTGGGGACCATGGAGGTTCTGGGCATTTACAGACCCCAGAACAGAGGGAGGAAATGGGAGCAGTGTTCGTAGCTTCCTCCCCAGTGTGGAACCTCACTGTCTCCGGGAATCATCCCAGCCCTGGGCCTGCAGGAACATAAGAAGCCAAGGGACACAGAGGAAGCCCAGGAGTAGTTTGCAAAGCCCTGACTTTTTTAGGACAGCACCCTCTTACCTCAACCACTGCAGAGCCTAATTTAAAAAATGTTCCTACTCTGGAGGAATTAACAACCTAAAGACACAGACCCTTTGAGGCAACCTGTGTCTGGTGAAGATTCTGGGCCTGATGCCTGGAGTGAGAGGGAAGGGAGAGGCGGTGGAAGGAGAGGTTTTGGGGAAAAAGCCTAGAGAGTGCTGGACACAGAGAAGTGGGTGGAGAGGGACCATGGGAGCTTGCAGAAGAACGAAGAGAGGAAGGCCTCTAGCTTGGCTCTTGGAATTGGAACAATGGAACTTCCATTCCAAAGTAAGGTTCTGCCTGTAAATTTGCTACCTACTCAATTCTGGTGAGCTTCCGATTCCCAGACACTTGCCAAAAGAAGTGTCCAAGGGAGGCTGGAAGGGAGAATTCCACAACCAGCAGAGTCTTCCTTTGATTCTGGAACCCCTCCTCCACCAATCAACCATTTGGGAAATAGGGAGACCATTGCCTTCCCAGCTCCATGGGAGGGAGCTGCTGGGGTGTGGCTCAGAACTCATCTGCATGTTCCTGTTAAGTACAGTGGGACACAACTGCAGGGCCAGGCTGGGGCCATATCACAGGCACAGCTCCAGGCTTGAGCCCAGGCCCAGGCTAAGGAGGGACAAGGGTATAGGTGCCCAGATCCCTTGCTTAGTCTGTACACACCTAGGCTTCCCCCACACCCTTGACCAAAGGCATTAAGTCTGGCTTACTCTGAGAACTGGGTCACTTCTGGATCTTTCCTGGGCAAGATTCCAAACCCAGCTAGCCATACTGTCATCTGGGAAGAATCATTAGGTAATGCAGGGGGAGGCAGGTAAGAGAGAAAGGGACGCGGTGGACAGAGAGGGGCAAAGCTGGGAAGTAGAAAGCACTGGCTCCCTAGATAGGTCTCTCCTCCCCTGCTGTAAGGGGAGAAGATATTTGTGCCAGCAGGGAGCCAACCAAGTGCCCACCTGTGCACACCTGCCTCCAGCACATCTGAGCTGTGGTGACCCCCTTCCCCAACCACTCTGCACAGCCAGGTGTGGTTGACTGCTTAGGCAGGCTCTGCTGAGGACCCAGGCCCTGACCTGCCTTGCCTAGGAGGCCCTGCTCTACATCCTTCTTGCAGAAAGGAGGAAAAATGAAGAAAAAGAAAATAAGTGTGTGTAAATTTTCTGTCCAGGTTTTGAGACACCTCTCCCACTTCCACTGCTCTGGGACACAGAGGTACAAAACGTACCTCCTTGGTGCTAGCTGTCTTGAGCTAGCCCCTTTCTGTAACCATCTCAAAAATGTTTGTCAAGCATTTTGTGAGGTGTCCCCCAAATACCCCTGATAAACAGGACTGTACAATGTGGCCTCTCCCCTGATTTTGCAACCCCAGAGTGCACATGCTCATGCCCACTCTCACACCTCCACCAAGTATTTCCAAGAAGAATGCTGTCCACAGGGTAAGGCCATCTGGGAACCTCTTCTCTCTTCCTTTTCATTCCAAGTTCCTACCTAGTGTATCTACTTGGGAAGGTGGCGTATTGGCCATAGCTTCTCTTTGTGACGTGGTCCTTGGATGGTCAAATATCTGTTAGCTTGGCACAGATGACTTATTTTCTCATTTGTCTCTGAGCTGATCCCTATTTGAAATGCAGTATTTGTCTTGCAAGTAAATCACACACACACACATGTTTGGGGGAGGGCTTTATTAAAAATTAACAATGTCCCTGCATAGTAAATAGTTCTTTGAACTTACAAAGTTTTCTTGTCCAGGGTCCCCGCCAGCAGATCTGGTAACTGCAAATTTTGTGGTGAGGGGAGGAGCACAGGGCCCAGCCAGGGATGGGAGTCAGCTCTGACTCTCCCAACACCACGGGGGCCTGAGTCCCCCACAGGAAGGGACAGGGAGGGTCAGTGCCCCCAGGGTTCAGGAATGGAGCACGGAACTGGGGGGGCCAGTAGGTGAGGAGGCTGTCAGAGGAGGCTTCCTGAAGAAGGCGTTCCCACTAGCACCGATGGACCAGCCCAGTGGGAAGGTGGAGGAGGAGGGCCCCAGGGGCAGAGAAGAGAATTCCGTCCAGAGGAGGAACAGCAGCAGCGGCATAAATGGACGTTAGGGAGAGCCCCTGACTGGCCCCCGTGTCGGGAGAAATAAAGAGACCAAAGCAGAGAGAGCAGATAAAGAGAGAAGGGCTCCCAGTTCCTGGTGTCCCTCTAGAAAGAGAAGCTGAGCAGCCCAGCGATTATCTGACTTCATCACTTACTCTGTATGTGACGGTGGGCCGGCGATTAACTTCTCGGAGCCTTGGTTTCCTCATTTATAAAACAGGGATAACAGAACTCCCTGGGAGGATGGCTGCGAGGACTTCACGGGATGGCTAGGCCAAAAACGGGTCATCGTAAATGCTCTGAGCAAAGGGATACGGATTACCACCTTCTCCAGGAAGAGCTGAACAGAGCGCCTGGCAGAGGCTGATTCACTTGGTTAGGTGGGTCGGACTAACCAGAACATTTTTCAACCCAAATTTACACTTCCTCTAGAGACTGTTCCTAGACAAGCGGGCAAAGGAGTTTGTAAACAATAAAAGCTTAATTCAAAGATTGCTGTCGCGGTGAAACCAGTGGGGCTTAGAGAAAAGGCTCAGGAAGAAGCAGTCAGCCTTTCGCGGCAGTGGGGGTGGGGAGCACCGTCCAAGCCAGGCAGACAGAAACACTGCAGCCCTTCCTAGCCCAGTATACACACGCACGCACACACACTCACGCACACCCCACCCTCCCCACCCAGCACTCTCCTGCAGCAACACTGGGAATCCTCCGGGACACGCGACGGGCATCTCGGCATCGACCTGCCCTCGGGGAGGTAGGGGTGAGAGGGCGCAGGAAGGATGGGGACAGAAATGGGCCAAGCTAGATTACTTCGTCCCCAGTGCGCCGAAGGCTAAGCGTTGTGGGGGAAGGCGGGAAGGGGAGGCAGCGCGTCCTGAAGGGCCCTGGGCGTCCCGGGAGCCGAGCTCAGGGGCCGCCCGGCGCCCGGCCAGCAGCGCCGCCTCCCGGGAGGAAGGCGGGGGCCGGGAGGAGGGAGCGGAAGGAGGCGGAGGGCGGAGGAGGGCGGCGCGGCTGAGAGGTTATTTGTGGTTCGCTTTGATCCGGAGGGGGGACCTGAAACTCTCACATTCCTTGCATAGCAGCCGCCTCCGGCGCGGGCCGACCCTGGGGCTGCGCGCTGGGGCCCGAACGGCCAGAGCGTCGGCGCCACCGCCGAGTGCGCACCTCTGCCGCGGAGCCGAGCCGAGCCTAGCCGGGCCGGGCCGGGTGGTCTGGTCTGACTGCGCCGAGCACCCGCGGGCCGCAGCGGTAAGGAAGGCCGGCCAGCCCTTCGGGGAGCGCGCAGGGCCGGCAGAAACGCGCCCGAGCTGAAGCCGGAGCCCCGGCACAGCCTAGCCTTTTCTGGAAGCGCGGCCCGGGCAGACGAACGTCTGCGGGGCGCAGCGCGCCCTTTCGTGGTAGCGGCAAAGGAGGGCAAGGGCAGCTCCGGCGGCCGGGCGCCGCGCCTGGAGGGGCGGGGGCAGGGACGCTCTTGAAGGTGCACAGGTACCCTGGGGCTGGGGGAGGGGGCGTCCTCTGGGAGAGCGGGATCCATGATTTGTGTCACGGGTCCAGGAGAGGGGCTCGGAACAGGCCAGCAGGCGCCACCGAAAGTTCAAGTTGCAGGGCCCTGGGGGTTGCTCCGGGTAGGTGGGGATTACAGGTGTCTTTGCCCCCAACTAGCCTAAGAATTCCTCTTTGTCTTCCTTGGAAAATCCTCTCCGGAGCCACGGACTGGCTCTCACTTAGAAAGAATGCAGCCTGCCGTCCAGCCCGGTGACGTCAGCGCTGGAGCATTTGGAAAACAAAGAGGCCTCGGGAGGGGAGGGTGAGAGGCGGACCCGCGACGCTTAAAGACCTCTTGGCCCACCGGCTACTCTAGCCCGCTCGCTCTGGGCCCGCTGCGGGCCAGGGGTGCTAGTGTTCGGCCGGGAGTCCGGGTAGGACGGGATCCCGGGCCGGGGTGCGATCTGAATAGAGATCTTCGCTTTGGTTCCTTAGGCGAGCGTGAGCCCCAATCAAGGCAGGAGATGCGTGCCTGCTAAGAAAGGGGGTTTCAGGAAGTCCAGTGCGCTAGTGCTGCAGAGGTGCACGGTCGGGGGCGGCGGCGCAGGTTTTGGTGAGCGCTCAGCTGAAGGATGTGCATCTGAAGGGCTTGACGGAGACTACTTGGAGAGGCCCCTCGTGGGATTCCCTGCTCCCAGGCACACTGTTGGGGGAAGGGTCTGGAATGGGTCCGGAGAGCTTGCATTCCCTGGTCGTCAGCGGGAGTCAGCCCAGACAGTGATTAACTATTGATTCCTGTTTGTTTTGCTTTTGGTAACTCTGGAATCTTACAGCGCCACGCCTTGTGTGTGTAGGGGAAGGGGGAGGCACGACTGGGTGCCAGGAAAGATGGGTACAGCGGTGTCCTCCATACCCTCAGTTCTGGGCTGCAAGGAGCAAGAATCGGATTGGGAATGGCTGCTCTGCCAGCTTGTAGCAGGGCATTGGGACTAGTTATGTGGCAGAGGAAAGGCCACATTCTTTCACTCGACCCCACCCCTCAGGACCTGTAGAAGTGTGGGTTTTGTTTGGTTTTCTCTGAATCCCAGTTTGGAGGTTTGTGTTGGAGGAGGCTGTGGAAAGGAAGCCGGGTGAGGTGGGCAGCCTTCCAAGCCATGAGCCACCGGGAGCCCAAGCTCAGAAGGGAACACCTTCCTTAGGAGATGTTATCTCCCTGCACTTTAGGCTCACAGTCCCCAGCCTCCATTCCCAGATCCCTGCAACCAGCAACCTCTCCTAGCTCCCTTTCTCTTCCAGGGGGTGTTACTGTTGTCAAAATTGTGAGTGCCCATCCCCTATGTGGCTAGAGGACCATGGGGGGCTTTTTCAAGTAGCAAGTGTGTGTCTGTATTGGGGGTGGGGAAGTGGTAGTCATAAAACCAAAGATTTCTTCTCACTGAATCACCCATGTAACTGGCAGCACACAGACTATGTGACTGACCTACAAACCTTGATGGGTGGCACCTTTTTGCCTCTTCTCGCAAAACCATTGTCCTATTGCAGCCTGCCTTCTTTCATCCCTTTTTCAGCATTCCAGGTGCACTTTCTCCCTCCTTCCTGTTCACCTTGTAGAGTGACTGCCAAGGTTATCCATTGGCTGAGGGAGGGCTCAGTGGGGACAGGGGTTGTGAATTAACTGTGCCAGCCTGGGACTAAAGCATGGTTCATTTATTTTAGAGAGTGCTGGGGCTGTTTGCCTAGGGCTCCTACCAGGCTGGACTGTTTCTTTACCACCTGCAAATAAACTGGGGCCCTGTCTACCCCTGGACTATACAGGTCAGTAGTTAGATCTGAGCTAAGTCTGCCTTGGAGTCTCAGGCTTTTTGATGGGGAGCTGACTGCAAGAGGCTTCCTGGTTGATTACCTTCTAGGTTACTGGTGTCTTTAAGCTTTGTAAGTTACCATGAATGTCATTGTAATGGTAATCCTTTGCCAAGGATTTATGTGCATTGCCTCTTTTCATTCTCGACCCCGTGAGGCAAGCATTATTTCCATCTTTCTGATGGAGAAACGAGCTCACGTGCCTTAATCAGTAGGTGGCAGCATTGGCAGTTGAACCCGGGCTTGAGTGGCCCTCCATAACCTTGTTCCTTACCATTATTTTACCAGACTTTAATGGAAAGTACCCCTCTTTCCCATGTGCCCCCACTGATGATTCTTCTTTCTCTCCTTCAGGTGCCTTGGGGGCCAGGTGCCTCGGGCCATTGTCTAGGCGGGTGTGTGTAAGCCAAGGAAGCATGAGGACGCCAGAAGACTCTTCGGGGACAGTTCTGCACCGCCTCATCCAGGAGCAGCTGCGCTATGGCAACCTGACTGAGACGCGCACACTGCTGGCCATTCAGCAGCAGGCCTTGCGGGGTGGGGCTGGAGCTGGGGGCACAGGGAGCCCCCAGGCCTCCCTGGAGATCTTGGCACCTGAAGACAGTCAGGTGCTACAGCAGGCCACAAGGCAGGAGCCCCAGGGCCAGGAGCACCAGAGCAGTGACACCCATCTGGCAGAGAACACCCTCTACCGGCTGTACCCCCAGCCCAGCAAGGGCGAGGAGCTGCCCACTTATGAGGAGGCTAAAGCTCACTCACAGTACTACGCGGCCCAGCAGGCCGGGCCCCGGCCACATGTTGGGGTCCGGGATCCTCGTGGGGCCCCAGGAGGCAATCGGAGGCAGGATGAGGCCCTGCGGGAGCTGAGGCACGGGCATGTGCGCTCCCTAAGTGAACGGCTCCTGCAGCTGTCCCTGGAGAGGAATGGTGCCCGGGTCCCCAGCCACATGAGCTCCTCCCACAGCTTCCCACAGCTGGCCCGAAACCAGCAGGGCCCCCCAGCCAGAGGCCCCCCTGCTGAGGGCCCAGAGCCCCGGGGACCTCCACCTCAATATCCACATGTGATGCTAGCTCATGAGACCACCACTGCCGCAACCAACCCCCGGTACCGTGCCCGTGGCAGCCCGCATTTCCAGCATGCTGAAGTCAGGTAACTGCCCACCTTAGTCCTTCAGGTTCTTGACTTTCTTCCAGGGTAGTGCCCCCATGGTAGAGAACTTCCAGACAAAACCTTGTGTCAGGGCTGGCAAGCCCCAAGGGAAGCTAGTGACACCTCCTTCTTCCCAAGATAGGGGTCCTAATACCTGGAGCAAAAAGACTTAGCCAAGGTCACATGAGAATTTAGTGGCATCTCTTGTTTTAATTTGGAGATTGATACCACTGTCTGATTAGCTGTATCAGTCAAATGACTAGGGTTCCCAGAGGATATGAGTTACAGCAGGGGGCTAAAGGTTAGGTTTCAGAAAAGACTTGCTATAAAGACAGAGTGCCAGACTGTTTCCATGTTAAGAGGGAAGAATGTGGGACCTCCTTCTGTGGGATTTTTAAGAACAGTAGACAGGTTGCTTTCTGGGATTACTGGAAGGCATCCCTAACTGGAGGCAGGAAGGACCAGGTGGCACTGCCCTGGCTCTACTGTTCATTCTCTTCTGTGTTTTTCCGAGTGCTCCATGTGGCTGGAGCCTGAAGTGGGAGAGGATTCTGGACTCAGGCAAGCCTTTTTCTGTGGAGGCTCAGGAGAGGCTGCTGGCCTGGGCGCTTTGGGGTTTGATTCTGGGTGTAAAGGGAAGGCTTCAGAGTGTGTGTTGGCTGCGTGAAGAGAAAGGATCTTAAGGTGCAAGAATGGAAGCAGGGAAACCAAGGGGAGGCAGAAAGCCCAGATAGTTTGCAGAAATACAGGTTCCTAGAAATGAGGCTTTGCCCCTGGCTTGTCACTTGGCCCAGCTCCTCCTCCTGAGAAGCTGACACACACCCTTCATTTCATACATGCTGCATCTCCTCCCATGGGGGTCCAGAAAACCCCATCAGAGGGGCCTGAAGACTTCCAGCTCCCTTCCTCTGGAGGCTCAAGGTCAAAATCTGTTTCTCTTCATTGCCTGCAAAGTCTTCATTTAGTCACCCAGTTTCCCACTGCTTGGCCTTGCCTGGGAAAGACGCCTTCCCTTGCTCTGGAGAAATGAGTGATGTGGGTTTTCTCCCAACTCCACCTCCCAGGCCCCCACCTTATCTCCCTCCTCAGAGCACGGTCAGGGAGAGTTTCGGAAGCTGAGTCGTGGTTTTTCTTCTTTTGGACCAGCCTTATTGAACTCTGTCAGGAAAAGATAGTATCGGGAAAGGAAGTAGGATGTTTGCAGGAGAACAAAAAAGAGAGTGGGGGGAGGGGAAGCACCAGGGGAGCAAGTGTGAAGGGAAAGGAGACTGTTCTTTCTTGGAGCTAAGTCATCCCCAAAGAATGCCAGTTGTCTGCCTGGAGCGAGGAAGACAGAGCAAGGTCTGTGAAGCAGCCCCGAGAATGCCACGCTTAGCAGTGCAGGGGGAGCTGGGCCCTCCAGGGGCGCCCCTGCCCAGCTCTCACTAGAAGCTCTGCCTTAGACAGTAAGACAAATACAGCTGCCAGCTTCTCTGCTTGGCTAATCAGATGAGGACTGGTCACCGGAAACTGCGGAGAGGGACTTCCCTTCTGGCTGGGGGTCCTGAGAAGAGCAGAACAGTGTAGGCTACAGGGAGAGGGCTGGGGGTTAGGGTGAGGGTGGGTGTGGGTGTGGGTGTGGGGGCTGAGGTAATGGACCCAGAAGTAGAATTAAATTTTCATGGAGCTCTTGGGACTTGGGAAGTTCCTGGTGAAACTGAGGCAGTCTGTTCTTCCATACTTGGAGTCGCGAGACCCCAGAAAGGCTTTGTAACCCCTCTGTGCCCCTTGCTCTTGGCTCTCTTCTGCCACACGGGGCCCTGGGGGTGATGGCACACCACTGCAGGAGCCCGTAGAACATTGTGCCTAAACTCAGGCTGTTGCAGTAGTTCAGAGTCGGTCCCTCTGCCCAAGAAAAGCCAGTGTTTGGGTCACATTTAGCCTTCAAACAAAGAGTAAGCTGTGGTCACCAGTAGGAGGGTGGAGGGTGGGCTGCCATTATGGGAGTTCCTGCTGTAGGCCCAGCACTGCCAGACCTCGTGGAGCCCTGGTGAGCCCCGCAAGACTGGAGACAGTCAGTCTCACAATTGAGCAGAGGCATGATGGCACCTTAGGGATTTGGGTGCCTGTTTTATCAGACTCTGCAGGTCAGACTCTTACCCTGACATCTGTCTCATGGCTGTAACCTTAGCCACAGTCTTCTAAAAATGTTTCTGTGAGGGGTAACGGGACCTGATATAGAAGGGAGAAGACGTAAGTGTGCTGCCCTGGCAGGTGCTAGCATGAGGCCCAAAACTGGAGGCTCTTAATAGACACGGGTGGCTGCTGGGACCCAGCCACCAAGTGGCCCAGGGGCCTGGAAGGCTGTGGGCTCAGTCATGATTAACATGGCCTCCAGACGCAAAAGAACCTTCTATTCTTTAGAAGGGTCGAATGTGCACTTTATGTCTTATTTAAGCACCCAGTGCTTAGGGATCCAAGCCTACTCAGGGTGATGACCCAGGCCGTGGCCACAGTGGGGCTGAGCATGAAACAAGCATCCTGATGTTAGTCCTCTCTAGCCCTGCTCCCTGGCCCTTGAGGGTCCTGGGCAAACACCATGTGGAAGAGGCTTTCCTCACCAGTTGCTACCTAATGCTGTGGGGAGGATAAGCCCAGGAGGGCCGGGCTGACTCCAGGCTGCTCTGGAATGGGGGCCATGGCATCTGTGCCATCTCTGAGCACCACCTTCTGTTCCCCAGGATTCTGCAGGCCCAGGTGCCCCCTGTGTTCCTCCAGCAGCAGCAGTACCAGTATATGCAGCAGCCCCAGGAGCCCCCGCTGGCTCCACACCCAGCCGCTCTCAGTCACGGCCCCCTAGGCTCTCTCAGTCCTCCTGGGATGGAGGGGCCAGCTAGCACCCAGGCCTCCTCAGCCACCTCAGGCAGTGCCCAGCTGGCCCAGCTGGAGACTGTGCTGAGGGAGAATGCCAGGCTTCAGAGGGACAATGAGAGGCTGCAGCGGGAGCTGGAAAGCTCGGCGGAGAAGGCTGGCCGCATTGAGAAGGTAGGCCCTGCGGGGGGCCTCAGAGGGACAAGGGGAGGGAGGGACCCCAAGAGGCCAACTGGGGAGCAGGCAGAGGAGTGTGGCAGCTTGTCTCGTGGGGTTTCTGGCCCATCCCTGTGCCCTCAGCCCCCTCATCCCTCATGCACCCTCCCTTGCTGACTCCAGACAGCTGAGGAGTAGCCACAAGGCGGGAGGAGCTGGCTTAGAGCATGAGCAGTTGCTGGCAAGTGGTGAGTAGAAAGAGCTCATTCACCAGCTCCTTGCACACTTGCACCCTTCCCTGCTCACAGCCCCTCCTGCGGACACCTCCCACAGAGGGCTCTTTGTGTCCCCCACACAACAGCAAGTCTGTTCTAGACCATCCCTGGCCAAAGAGAAAGCCCCTCCCCTTGGAAAAAACTAGCAACTTATTGGAATCACGGGCCAGCTAGGAGCACGTGGGGAATCTGCCAGCAGCCAAGTGGGAGGGGCAGCCACCCCAGGCAGCCCCCTGCAGCGCATGGCATTGGCCAGGGGGAGACACTCCTCAGGCTGGGGCCGGTGCCCCGATCTTCCGTCAGGGTTTACCAGCTATGTGTTCAGCTTTAGCAGGTGGTCTTAGGCTTCCTATGACTGTCCAGTCACAGCCCCCAATAGGTCAGTGATGGGTCAAAGCTCCAGAACATGGCTGGAGTCTTTCTGTGCCCACTCCTGGCCCACTGTGCTAAAATTTCTCAGTAGAAGCCAGACAAAAGTAAAATGCTTCTTTCTGGCCATTGGGCCCAGAAAAGCCATGTTTAGTCACCCTGGAGGCAGTCACTTCCAGAGTACCTGGCCCTGGGTTCACTTAGCATTCGGACCTCAGCACTATGGGCAGGACCTGTGCTCGCTGGTTCCAGCGGCAGCCTGGTCCACCTCCAGAAGCTCCCGGCTCCTGATCCTCCTGCTGTGGCCCCCGGGATATTCTCACCCTCTCGTCTCTCACCTGTTCTGGTGGAGAGAGGCAGACCAGCCTGGGCCCATGGAGGGAGCCTTGATGCCACACCCTCCATGGAAGCTCTCGCCTTCCTTCAGCTCTGCTCTCTGCCTCTTGCAGTTGGAAAGTGAAATCCAGCGGCTCTCTGAAGCCCATGAGAGCCTGACGAGAGCCTCTTCCAAGCGGGAGGCCTTGGAAAAGACCATGCGGAACAAGATGGACAGTGAAATGAGAAGGCTGCAGGACTTCAACCGGGATCTCAGAGGTGAGAACAGGTCTCCCAGGTGGAGGGGCAGGGAGGACCTGTGAAAGGCTTGATTCCTGTGTTAAACATCTCTGTCTCTGCAAAACTAAGTGTAAACTGACTGAAAGAGAACCAGGCTAAGGCTGAGGCCACCTCAACAGAGAGACGCTTGTCTGTGTTCTAGACCCTGGATCCCCTCACAGAGCTCTGACCCTGTGTAGCTCAAGGTGCTCCCTCCTCATCAGGCCCTGAGCTGACACGGGGGCTTCCCTGTGAACCCATCCCCTAGAGATAGGACCCCAGGGGACACCTGGGCAGACAGCTTCATCGGATACACACACATCTGTTAAAACATCTTTCTTTCATTTGAAACAGAGAGATTGGAGTCTGCAAACCGCCGCCTGGCAAGCAAGACACAAGAGGCCCAGGCAGGCAGTCAGGATATGGTGGCCAAGCTGCTTGCTCAGAGTGAGTAGGAGGCCCCCTCAGAAGCCTGGCTGGATGTGTGGGTGGTGGGGCCACAGCAGCCCCTGTGGGCAGGGAGGATGGGCCCTCCTCTGCAAAGCAATGCTTCGAGCACAGGTTTACAGAATGCATACTAGGTGCCGGCAATGGGAAAGAGTGGCTTCCGAAGGAGGGTAACATCTGGTTCTGTATTTATCGGGGAGGTCAGTGGCCACAGGAGGGACAGCTGGGGAGCAGTAGTTTGCTGAGCTGAGTGCCGACCATCAGTGTAGTGTTCTGCAGAATCAGAGATGCAGTGGGCAGTAGGGGAGGCCAGATAGCCTGGAGACAGGTGGAGTGAAAGAGGAGGGACAGTCTGAGTTTAAGGCAGCAGAGGTTTTGGGTGCTCTGTGAGAATGTGAGAAACTGGGGAGCATGCTGGAACTGGGCCATAACAAGACAGCCAAGTAGAGATACCTGCAGGTAGCCAAAAATGGGTTCCTGGAGCTTAACCAAAAGGGACAATCTGAAGGAGTTTGAGAGGCAGCCTTAAAGAGGGTGGTCCAGGGCATCTTGAAGAGTGGATGCGTTCATGATTGGCTAGGCCATTCGGGCATTCATCTGTTCATTAGCAGGACCCGGCTAAGCACCTAGCAGGTGTTGAGCAGAGGGTGGGAGCAGGCCCAGGAAGGTACCATGGCAGGGAGGACAAGAGAGAGGGGTGAGCTTGAGGAAGGAGCTGGGTCTCCTAACGACAAATTTAAGAGAACAAGGGTATCTTTGGCCCTGGCGACTAGTGACTCCCAGTGGCCTGAGGGAAAGGTTCTGTGGAGATGGCAGGGTTGGAGAGCCAGCCATGCACCAGATAGGGGTGCATGGAGTGAGGGAGACAAAGGAAACCCTGGGCTTGGCAGCAGGAAGAAGCCCCCAAAATCAGAAGAGACACAAGCAGTTACTTATTAGGGTCTTACTGTATGCTCCTACTGTGTACTGTGGTGATGTTCTTGGATGGCTGGTGTCTGGGTGAGGGTGGCTTGGAGGAAGGAGGAAGCCATCAAAAAGCCTGCTGTGAGAGGCCTAAATAGTAGAGGGTGTCCAGAAGAGAAACAGCAGCTTGAGGACTGAGCCCTGGCTGGCAGCACTTCCTTCCTCCACAAGAGCAGCTCAGAGCCTGGACAGAGCTGCTCAGGGCAGTGACTGGCGGGGAGAACAGCACAGAAGGGGTTGAGGTGGGGGGCGGGTTGGGCAGGAGGTAGGCTATGCAGGCTATGCCGTACTGGTTGAGGAGAGGGAGGTGGCAATGACTTGGGGTTTCTGGGAGGGAGGTGATGGTGGGGAGGGAGAAAATGGAGGAGGTTGCCCTTGAGGTTGCCCTTGGGAGTCTGGGTAGGATGGGTAGCTGGAAGGAGCCAGAATGGGGGTGTCCTGTAGGAGAGGGCAGGCTTTTGGGGCCTGGCTTTGCCAAAGAAAGGAAGTTATGGGGCGGGTTTCTGGGAGCCAGCAGAAGAGGGGCGAAGGGGTTGGCCGGCCTGGAGGCGTTTCCACTCCCTGGGGAGAGAGCGCCAGGCTGTTCTTGGCTCCTCGCTGGAGCCATTTATCTCGCAGCCGCGGGTGACCTGGATGCCTGGCATTCCAGAGCCGCCAGGCTGTTCCACTCGCAGCCCACCCCCCACCGCTCCCTCCCGTGTGAGCAGCCTGGGGGCGAGGGGAGGAGAAAGACTGGGACAAAGGGAGACTGGGACCCGCAGTGGGGGGCCTTGCTTTGAAATGCACATCTCCCTTCTCCCTCCAGCGCTTGCCTTGCTTTCCTGCCCACCGAGGGTCCCTTCCTGGCTCCCGGCACCCCCCATCCCCACCCAGGAGCGCCCCTCCCCCAATGGACTGGTCCATGGCTCCATCCTGGTGCCTGGGGTTGGCCGATGCACCAGGCCTCAGGCTTCCCAGCCCCTGTTCTGGACTTAAAGGTTGTGCAAGGCGGCAGGAAGCTGCTGGAAGCAGAGGGTGGGTCCCCAATTCTTTCCTCAAACGAGGAAAGCTAAGCAGCTCTTCCCTGCTCCTTAATAGCCATGGGGAAACAGAATTCTCAGGGAAAGTGCCCACGTCTCCTTTTCCAGGGTTAGTCAACACCAGCTGGGAAGTGTGATTATTATCCCACTGCCATCTGCTTTCCTTCTAGGCAAGCCGTATAGACTCTGCCTGACCTCTCTGCTCAGGCCCTGCCCTCCCTGTGGAGCTGGCCTAGTGTCCAGAGGCCTAGTTCTCCTGGCTCTGTTCTCCTTGGACAGTTTCTTTTCACCTGACCCCCAGGTTCTGGGGCTATAGGACTAGGACAGTCATGTTCAGCCTCCGGTGGGATGCAGGTTCCTTAACACCCTGTCAGATATAGGGCTCTGAACCAACACAGGAGGGGCCACGTCTCCAGGTCCAGAGTCCCAGGCTGCCCTCCCTGCCTGCCCCCTCTACTCGTCTCACTAGATGGTAAGCCAGCCCAGGAAGCACGGCTCAATTTCAGTATTATTGGGCTTCCCCATCTTTTCCCTTCACACCAAGGAATGAGACCAGCGTGGGCCCAGCCGTCAAAAATCCAGAGTGAGCCAGAGCTGACCTGGGTCACTTGTGTCCCTGCTTCTGCCCCAGGACCCTGAATAAATGAATTCTCCCTTCTGCCTGCCCAGTCCCCAAGCCTTCAGTCTTCTGTCCAAATAGGACAACCCGCACTGTCCTATTTGATAGATTCTTTGCCACATGTGGCCCAAAGATTAAAATTAATTAAAATTAAAGAAAATGCAATATTAGCTTTCTCCCTTACACTAGTGCTCAATAGCCCCGTGTGCCTAGTGGCTGCTGCCCTGGTTGGCACGGTACAGAGCAACCCCCTGACAGCAGGACACCCTGTGGTGCTGCGATAGTACTCGTGGAGAGATGGGGGGAGAGATGGTGCATTTGCGTTCCGCAGGCAGCCCTGAGCCCCTGCCCCTTTGCCCTCCGGCAAAGCCGACACCCTGGGACTTCCAGGGGTGGGGGGGTGAATGGGAGGTGGATAAGCCTAGAGCATCGCTGGAGGACTTGCTGGTCTGGCCCAGGCTTTACTTGGCGTGGCTATGTGGAGAGAGTCTAGCAGAGTTCTCCTGAGCAGTCAACAAGATTTTTTAAAAGTCAGAATAGCTGGAACTGCAGGCAAAGTCTTTGAACTGTAGTCATTTTCATTGTGTTACAAAGTTTGCATTTCTTTGAAAAAACAGGTTGCCCACATCTCAGTGTTATCCACAGACCATGGAAGGAAATGTAGTACTAAACTGGGGGCCCTGGGTCTACAGAATGAGCGCTTTAGGAGGGCCCCACAACATAGCCAGAGGCATCCTGGTCCTTTGGAGCCAGGCTGACTTGGGTTCCCATTTTGACAGCACCATTCACCTCCTGTATTTCCACCCCTGTAAGCTGGGGGTCACAGATCCTACCTGGAGTAGCTGTATTGGAGGCTGCACTGGAGTAAGCTGTGTAAGTGCCTAGCTCATGGTGCAGCAAATGGTGGTTTCTTCCCTGTACTGGCACTCTCCCACTTGAGTGATGACCACGTCATGGTCCACCTAAGACTTCTATCTGTAAACGGGCATCGCAGTTTCTATCTGACCAGTGTCTGCTGTCACCATGGGGCTTAAGGGAAATTGTGAATGTATTTTGGAAATGGTGACAAGTGGATAGTGTTTGGGCCTGTCCTGTGGCAAGTCATGTTCCAGCAGAGAGAGAGTATAGCCCAGTTATGACTGTAAGAGCCCCAATCTGGCACTGCCATTTACTTGTGACTTAACCTAAGCCTCAGTTTCCTTGTCCATGTAATGGGTTAATAAGGGCATCTAACTCCTAAGGTTGTTGAGAGGGTAATTGCAATCATGCTTATCCAATGGATAGCATAGGGCCAGCACATGAGGGGTGCTTGGGGGAGCCAGCTAGGGTGGGTGCAGTCACTGACCCAGCCTCTCTCCCTGCAGGCTACGAGCATCAGCAGGAGCAGGAGAAGCTGGAGCGTGAGATGGTACTGCTGCGCGGCGCCATTGAGGATCAGCGGCGGCGTGCCGAGCTGCTGGAGCAGGCTCTGAGCAATGCACAGGGCCGGGCGGCCCGAGCCGAGGAGGAGCTGCGCAAGAAGCAGGCCTACGTAGAGAAGGTGGAGCGGCTGCAGCAGGCACTTGGGCAGCTGCAGGCTGCATGTGAGAAGCGTGAGCAGCTGGAGCTACGTCTGCGGACGCGCCTGGAACAGGAACTCAAGGCTCTGCGTGCGCAGCAGGTGAACTGGGAAGACCTGTGGAGGTGGCAGAGCTAGGGTGGTATATGAGAGGGCCTGTTCTGCAGCCCCTGGGAGCTCCTGTGCTGATCCAGGCCAAGGCCCTCTAGGAAGGCAGGAGTGAGCTCTCGCCCAGCCTTACCGCAAGGTCCCTCCCAACCACCAGACTTAGCAGAGACTTTACCACTTGGTCATGTGCCGACCTTAGGGATGCAAGACTTGGGCTTCTGGCCTCAGCAGCAGGGAGGGTTGGTGTGCCGCCCTTAGTCTCTAGAGAAAGTAGCCAAGAAAACCTGATGTAAAAGACTAGCCAGCTCATGTCTCCCCAAGATCAAGAGGGAAGATAGCCACCCAGATCCTGAGTCCTCATCCTCACTTTGAATTTGTAAATAACTGGTGTTTACAAAGCTGATGGAGGTCTGTCTCCCTCCCAACCTTACCCTTCCCGAGGCAAGGGGAGCAAACCTTTGGTATCACCTAGTTCTGTCCTAGTTAGCACCACTGTCACTGTGTAATTATTAAGAGCACAGCACCCCTTTCCCAGTTCGGAGGAGAATTTATATGGTCACACCTATGCAACAGCAGAACTGATCTTCCCCCACCCTTAACTGTGCTGCCTCCTCTGCTCTGGGTGGAAGAAGCGGGGTGGGAGTGCGTTCTGTGAATGGCTGAACAAGCACACGTATAAGTGAGAGTCCTTGTGGATGGGCAAGGACTGGTGGCCCCCACTGCCCGGCCTCCTCCCTTGCCCACAGTGCTCCTTTCTCTGTAGAGACAGGCAGGCACCCCCAGTGGTGGCAGCGCTGGGCACCCAGAGCTCAGCGCCTTGCGGCTCTCAGAGCAACTGCGGGAGAAGGAGGAGCAGATCCTGGCGCTGGAGGCCGATATGACCAAGTGGGAGCAGAAGTATTTGGAGGAACGTGCCATGAGGCAGTTTGCCATGGATGCAGCTGCCACGGCCGCCGCCCAGCGCGACACCACTCTCATCCGACACTCCCCACAGCCCTCACCCAGCAGCAGCTTCAACGAGGGCCTGCTCTCCGGTGGCCACAGGCATCAGGAGATGGAAAGCAGGTTGGTCACTGCAAGCCAGAGCAGGGCATCTGAGGTGGGGGTGGAGGGTGGCAGTGTCCAGTTCCTGCCATGTCCTTAGTCCCCAGTAAAGGGACTAAAATAAAAATAAAAATTCCCTCTCTCCAGGAGGCTCAGCAGGCCCTCCTGCTTCGGAGCTGACCCCTGTGTGAGGTTCCCTCAGGCTCTTTCCCAGAGATAACAACTGCGTCCTTGGCCCGGGAGACCCTGGCTGGGGAGGTGTCAGATTCCATTCAAGGCTTTGGGCCTCTACCTGCTCCCGACTCTCGTGTAAATCAGAGAGCAGGACTTTCTAACTGAGTCCGCACCATGTACCACCCAGAGAGCATGTGGAGTGGGTCCCCTGGTTTGAGGTGGCTAGTATTTTCTCCCCCAAAATAATCACAGAGGCCCGCAGGATTTCCACTTGAACTGTGTCTGACTTGTCTGACTCAGAAGCTCAAGCACATGGACGGAGCCTGTGTGAATGTCAGCAGGTGTGAGGGTTGCCTGGCAGAGTGGGCCATTGCTGTCCTCAGATGATCCAGAGCCCACCCCTGGTGACCTGCCTTTGCTGGTGTAAGAAGGGCACAGCACCTCAAGCAATGGCAGTTCTCAGTGCATCAGAAATCCCTGAGCTGTGATGACATTTCTGACGACCCCCTCCTGGTCCCTGCTGCAAGGGCAAGAAGGCTCCAGGGAGGGCCTCCCCTCCAGCTTTTATGAGGCAGCAAGGGTGGAGGCCACTGGGTCTGGGGTCTGATGGTGGAGCATGGCTTCTCGCCCCTCAGATTAAAGGTGCTCCACGCGCAGATATTGGAGAAGGATGCAGTGATCAAGGTTCTGCAGCAGCGCTCCAGGAAAGACCCCGGCAAGGCCACGCCAGGCTCCCTGAGGCCTGCCAAGTCTGTGCCATCCGTGTTCGTGGCTGCGGCAGCAGGGACCCAGGGCTGGCAAGGGCTCTCTAGCGAGCGGCAAGTGGATGCCACTGCCCGGCTGGCTACAGGTGAGAGGAGGCTGGTGGGTACAGGGGGTAGGTTGCTCTTAGGCCTTTCCTCCCAGAGCTGAGGCTTAGAGGGGCTGGGACTTCATGACCCCTGCCCCGGGGAGCTGGCTTGTGCTCCAGCTCCAGTGCCCTGCAGCCCACAGCTGCCCTGCCAGTGTGAGGAGGCATGCTCGTAGCCCCCATCTCTGTAAATTCCGTCACCCTCTGTCCTTGCCGCTTTAACATTTAAGTAAAAATAGAGCTTCCTCTGCAGATGTAATTTCTGGGCAAGCCCTCCCACTGTACCTTCTAAGCAGATGCCATAGAAATCAGAGGGTCTCTGCTGATTTTAAGATTTAATCTACAAAGAAGAATTCTACCACTTCAAACATTTAGAAACCAATCCATCCTGATAGTTGTTCTCATTTGGAAACAGGAGCGTTTAGTCTTAATCAAAGTTCTTGCAAATCAAGAGTCACCTGCACCACCACACACCCCCAACAGACAGAGTTAACTTGGGTGTTTGTCATGGGGGCTACACCTTGTGGACGAGGCAGTTAACTACTGACCTCCTGCCTTTTCAGCAGACAGGGCCCCCACAGAGGAGCCGGTGGTGGAAGCTCCCCTCCCTGCCCACACCAAACACGGGAGCCGAGATGGGAGCACCCAGACCGACGGGCCCCCAGACAACGCCACTGCCTCCCTGGGGCTGGAGCCCAACAGCCTTCTGGGGTGCAGCAGTGGCCAGAAAACAGCCTTGCCGGGTAAGTGCCCATTCCCCTGATGGTAATGTGCCCAGCGGGGCTGAGGGTGTGTCTGGGGGTGACCTTCAGCACCAAGCTCTTCCTTCCCAGAGTGCTTCTGCTCATGCCTATGCTCCGCGGGGGGCCCCTCCTGGGGCCTCACAGGATTTGTGGCCCACCTCAGTATGAAAGTGAGGGCTGGTGGGATGCATGAATAAGGGAATTGAAAGCCCTTAGAGCCCTTTTTACAAGCAGATCCAGAGTTCAAGAAGAAAGCCACCCCGTGGGAGGCACTTTGTCCTCTGTATCGTCTTCCTTACATATTTAATTGCCTATCTAAATATCTAAGATAATGGGCTTGGCAAGTTATCCGGATGGCACTCTCAAGTTAGAAGACTGTTTAAGAAGAGTCAGGGAAGGAGAAATTTGAGAAGATGCCGTTTAATTTTTGCTCCCCTTTCAACATTAGCCTTGCATATCTGCCTGTGCCTCACTGGCTCAGAAAACCACAGGCATGAAAAGAATGTGCAGCCTCTCTCCCTCGGGGCTCCCCACCCTCCCAGCCCCTTGGCCAGGTCAGAGTTAGAAGCAAATGTCCTCCACAATGGAGGGTGGCTTTCGGGGCGCAGAGCCGAGAGGGAGACAGCACTGTGCTTGCAAGGCCACGTTATGGCAGCCGGGGGACCTGGGCAGCCGAGGGGAGAAAGTTAGTGAAGAAAGAGCTGTCTTAAAGATGTGCCCGGATGTAGAGAGCAGTCTGCCAACCCGGACTGGCATGTGCTGTGCTCCTGGCTCTCTCCAGATTCTGTCGCTACGTCCAGAGTCCAGGACTTGTCAGACATGGTGGAGATACTGATCTGAAGGAGGAGGTGCCCTGGGGACTCCGAATCACGCCCTGCTCTCCTCTGCCCTGCGCCCCTCTCGGCCATTCCAGCAGCGCTCTCCAACTGTGGCTTCCCCGGTGTCCCCAGCTGGGCACTCATGACCATGTGGCCCCAGCAGCTGAGGACAGCTGCTGCTGGGGAGAGAGCGGTGGGGAGAGCACCCGTACCCAGGGAACCCTGTTTCTCGGCCTCACGTTCCCCGGTGCCCATGCAGACTGGGGAGTCCCCCTCTGCCAGCTGCCCACAGCTTATTGTTGGGCCAGCAACGGAAAACTCAGAAGGGAACTGAGCCCTCTCTGGGCCCCCAGGTGCCATTAAGGCCGGGAAGGAGGGGATATATTGGTTTGGGGGCTGATTTGCAAGGTGGGCTGCAGTGAACACCCAGGGGGCTGGTTCAGTAATCAAGTGAGCCACGTTGTTTCCCCCTGGCTATGTGTGCCCCCTGCCAACCTCATCCCCCTCCAGCTCCTCACTGCCTCCTTGGGATCACTTAGACTTGCATCTTCCGGGGACTATTGAAGGCATTAGTGCTGCAGAAGCCTTACCGCCTCACTTGGAGTGGCTAGGGGCCCTGTAAGTGGACTGGGATGCATTGTGCAGCTTGTGTATAATGCCCTTCCTGGTGGAACAGAAGATCAGAGCGGCTGCTTCAGATTTGTCCCCACATTCTATGCTCCCATCCTGCAGTCATGGTTCCTGTAACTTCTGACCAGCCTCCCAGTGCTCTGTCCTTCTCAAGTTCATGGCCTAAGGATTCTGATACAGGTTGATCCACGGCACATTGGCTATCTCCCTCTGTCCTGAGCCCTGTCTTAAATGCCCATGGGACTCTCTTCCCCATCACCAGCCTCCTGAAATGGCTCCACAGCTCCTGTCCCTGGGACATCCTGTTAGTTTGTTTATGAACCCTGAGCCAGATGAAATGAGCCAGCGCGCGCAGACACCTGTCACGGTGGGCTCCGCAGCGCCGCTTCTTCTGAAGGAAACTGGAGAGGTTGCCTTGTTCTCGTCAGTCTTTATTCCCACCTGGAGACACTGGGAGAGGTATGTGGCCAGCGAGCTACAAGATGTGACTCATAGTCCTCTGAAGAATGGAGCCCACATCCCAGAACGGCACCCACGAGGCTGGCCCCTCAAGCTACCCGTGCCCAGCACCCTGAAAGGGCCAGTGCTCTGGAATTAGAACGAAACATCCCCATGGCAGCCTGCCAGCCACAGTGACTGACTTCTGGTCTTTACGAGTCCCCCAACTCAGCCCCAGGAGCGATCGGTGGCTGTTAGCAGTTTGTCTTGACTGTTTTCAGTTCTCCTTGAATCTTTGTTTTTGCCTTTACTGTTTTTAGGTTCTGTGTGTGTTATTTTATTTCCATGGTTCCTCAAGTTTCCTTTTTAAACATTTGCATTTGCTGGACAATTGCATATTTTTTTAAACCGCCCCTCCCACCACCCTTCTTGAAAGCTGAAAAATACATTTGGTTCATGTGCATTGTTTACAAAGAAAAAAAAAGAGAGGGAAAAAAAGGCAAAAAAAAACATGAAAGAAAAAAAACAACTTAATATATTTTGGATTAATATTTGGTTATTTCTTTTAAAGTATTTTTTGTGCTGTGAACATTTTCTGCCAAAGACCATGATGTGTGTCTGTATGTTTAAGTTATCATAAATATTTAAAATGTAAACATGGCTGTTTTGTTATGCCACCCTGTACCAGGACTGCTGCTGCATTCCGCTGGGTATAACAGTATTTTAATAAAAAATAAATAATGAAAAGTGGTGTCTTTGTACAGGGGAGAGACTAAGCTGAGAGGGAGCAGGGGTGAGGATTTTGGGGGGCCATCCATGTCATAGTCCCTGAGCACTCTCAGCTCGGAATTGTGCCCCCCACCCCTACCCCATGCCTCTGCCTGCCTTGGTTCTCGAACGTTGGCCAGAGCACGTCCATAACCAGCCAGCTCTGGGTCACTGTCAGCTTTTAGATGTGAGCAGGACAGGGTGCCATTTTCTGCTGTGGGGTACCAGTGGGCAGGGCAGATCCATCCTTACAAGACTAGGATGTTACACAGTATAAACTCTTCAAGGATCCAGGACAAGTCCTGAGAATTCTGAGGCTGAATTAAGGAGAGAGTTGGAATGAGCACATGGTTCGCTTTCCACTTTTACAGAGAATATTTCCCCCAGGCTGGGAAGGTCTGGCAGGTGGTCAGCTTCCCCAGTTGACTTTGAACTAACTGGGTTATGTTGCTTTGGCCACATGCTGCAGTTGCTCCACAACCGGTGGGTGTCTAGAGGTGGCTTCATCCTTCCCCTGCTCCTAGCTCCCCATCTCTCTCCTGCCCAGCACAGGGAGCCCTCTCTGGGACCACCCAAGTGATGGGGCACCATGCTTGCCCTCTGCCTGGACAGGGACCATGCTTTGGGGCACTGCCATCCCCATTTGCTGTGGCCTTACCACTCTCGCCCCAGGCACAGGAAAGCATATCAGTCCAGTCCATAAAAGGAAACCATTCTCGATCTCAGGTCATCTCATATCAGAAAGAAAGTACCTGCCTCCATGGGTGCTCAGCACGCCGAGGTGCCCAACCGGATGTGGGCTGGCAGGCAGAGGCTGATCACAAGGCAGCGGGCAGCCAGTCAGACTGAGAGCACGTGATGGGAGGGGTTGCCCCCACTGCTGTGGGTGAAGTACCTTCAGGGCAGGCATAGGGACTCGGCAGCCATGTTGATGGGTAACTAAGTGGGATCTGAGAAAACACCCTTCTGAGCTGGCCTCCTGCCCACAAGAAACAAGTCAAGCTGGTGGACGAATTTTTTGGCAGCTTGGCAGGTGGTGATGGGCCCCAGCAGATGGGGAGCTCTCTATGCAGGATGTACCACCCAGCACCACACAGAGGCGGCAAACCCAACGGGGCCACCCCAGCCCTCTCCAGCCTGAGCCCACCAGACCTGGGCAGCGTTGATGCCCAGCTCCCTCCTACCAGTTCTGCATTGGGATTTGCTGGGTGGCGAGGTTGCTCTCTTAGGACGCTGCCCTGGTCCTTGGAGGCAGCCTGAGCTCCTGCTCTCACCACTCTTCCCTCCACCACACCAGCCCACGGCTGCATTTGCCAATATGTGATGTCCAAATAAAATGGCAGTGCCTGCAGCAGACCTTCCCAAAGAATGGCTTGACAAAGAGGTTCCTGTTCACCTCTCTCTGCCCCGCAAAAGAGTCCTGGGAGAGCAGCTCAGACGGGTGCAGTGAGCCCTGGCGAGAGAACCATCCCATTCCCAGCACCTTTGACCAGGGCTTTCAAAGCCTCTGTGCCTTTCGCAGGAGCTAATCTGTCCAGAGTTATTTTGATATTTTTTTGGCACAGATGAGGGGAAAAGCCCAGCCCAGTGTGCCCAGCCCATGTACCTGCATGTGTATTTGCGTATGTGTCTGCACTGTACATCTGAGCATGTGTCAGAAAAAAGATGAGGGGTGCGTGGCCACCAGAGGCTCAGAGGAGCCGTTTCTTCTCATAAAAGGGGTTGTAGGCTTCACAATGCCCTTTGAAGTTCACCTAAGGAAACTGGAACTGGGAGACTGCAGGCTGTGGTGCAGTTGGGCAGGCCCAGGGGAGGGGAGTGTTTGGCCATGTGTCCTGGCACCTATGATGAGGGGGGCCAGCCCCTCAGTCCCACAGGTGGCTCTGCTGGGCCCTTTGGAGGCCACATTCCTCTGTGGGGACAGCCCTGCCTGGCCTGCTCTGCCCCCACCCAGCACCTCCACTAACAGGGCTGGGGGAGTGGCTCAGAAGGGGCCCCACGCTGTCCCAGGGGCAGGAAGACAACCTGTGAGGCCACCCCAGCCCTCTTTCACCTTTCAGTTAATCATTAACTTTTCTCACGGCTGGGGCATGTCAGGCTCAGAAAACTTAGCAGAACATGCTAAGACAGGGGCAGTAAATCGGCTGAAGCCCCTCCACTCTGCCCAGGAACTCACGCAGGTCAGGACACCTGTGTGCAGTGCCTCATCTTGTCTCAGTGAGGACCCGGCCGGGACGCGGAGGCCCCGGCACCAGTCAGGACCCTCATGGACCCGCCATGCCTGGATCTAACACATGAAAAACACCACAGCAAAAAAGGTCCTTATATCCTTTTTTCTTACTGAGCTGTAATTCCTACGCCATAAAAATCACCCTTTGAAAGCATGCAATCCACTGCTGTTTGTATCCCAGCATGCAATCCATAGGCCAGCAAGCAAGCCGGTGTCACCATCACCAAACGCCCTGCCAGGGGCCAGAGGGACAAAGTCACAAGTGCTGTTTGATCTACTACATCTACACTTGCGGGCCCCTATTTCTCAGGATGACACTGGCCTTTCTATAGCTGACAGTCCCCTTCACTCTGGCACAGCCCACCAGCTCCAGCACACCCACTTTGGGCCACAGCGAGGACACTGTCTGCTCTGAGCTAGAGCCCTCCGCCGCCTTACCCCAGGCTGGCTGGAGGACGTCCTGCCCTAAGGCTAGGGAAGGAGGCAGTGAGACCTGACCATCCCCATTGTCTGCTCAAGGTTTTACAGAATCAAGGAGCATTGGCAGGAGTGGTTGAGTTTAGTGGGGCCTGAAACTTAGAGCATTTGGGGGACCCTCCTAAGACAAAGAATGGAAAATACAAAGTTAGGATTAGAGTCTTGGAAGGGGCTTGTCTAGCCAGTGCTCCATTAACTTCACAAAAGGTTTGCATCAGGGCGTTTGTCATCACGGGTCCCCAAAGGAATGAAGTTCTGGGAGGCGCCCATGACCTGGGCTCATTCTTGTCTCTCCCAGGTGAGGCTTGGAGCTGCCAGTCAATGAAGCTGCAGTTTTTCTTCCCCTGGGGCAGACAGAGTGGTTGTTTTGGGTACCACCATAACATAATCCTTTCTCTTGGGGCAGAGGCACCCACAGCAAGGGGGCTTGGAGCCCGGTGGGGAGAAACCACCGCAGAGCCTGGACAAGAGGGCTGAGCAGCTTGCCAAGGACCAGAGCTGTGGCTGGCACATGGATGCACCCTGCTCTCTCCCACCAAGCAATCTCCAGCCCCTAGCCAGAGTTGGGGGAGTGTGGGGCAAATATCTGATAGTTGGCCCTCTGCATGCCTGGAGAGCCACGCCACTCAACTGTGGCAGGGGCACATTCTCCTCTACTCCAAGTGCGCATCTGTCAGCTTTCAATTCTGAGCCAGCCAAGTGTCTGTCACGAACCGTCCTCAGATAAATGACTCTGTGAGTCCAAAGGCTCCTACCTGGGCCCACATTCCAGGTATGGCTGGGCAACAATGTGGACATTTCCTTGCACAGGTTTGTCTCTTCTTGCATGAATTTGGCCTTCTTTTCTTGCTCCAGGAGGGCCTGCCCCACCCCTTCTCTGTAGCCTGGGCTTGCTCCACACTGTGTGCTGTGGAAATCTTCACAGCATGTTGCATCAGCAGCAAAAATACCCAAATCTCAACCACATGGTGACTAACTGCACAAGTCACAGTGAAGGTTTGCCCTGAAAACTACAGTAACCTTCTTTAACTTGAAATAAAGCAAAACAGCCCTCTTTCCCAGAGGCTTTTCTCTAAAGCTTGGGTGCTCTGTCTCAGCATGACTGACTTCTCTTTGCTCCATCCTATTTCTCTGTAAGTGGCCATGCCATCTCATTCCTTCCTTCCTTCCCTCATTCATTTATGTTACAAATGGGTATTGAATGCCCCACATGTTCCCAGCACTGTGGCAGGCACTAAGGGTACAGCGATGAATAAGACAAATTACATGTCCAAACATTTCTCTGTTCCAGCCATCTGTTTTATGTCTACACTCCATTCTGAGCCAAACACAGGGTGCTCATCAGTGTTGGCTAAATGAGCATTACTGACGAGACTGGCCCGGCTTACTTTCCTTGCTCTGACCCTGGATTCCACTGCCTTCCTGTGTGCACCAGCCACACAAACACCTGACAGATGCTTCTGAGAGCCCTGAGTCTCTCTTGCTGCTGGTCCTTTGCACATGCCATTCCTTTTCTCTGGAATGCCTTTCCCATCTCTTTTCTCCTTTTGTGTCCTGTTTATCTAAAAACTCATCTGTCAAAGTCCAGCTTAAGCATCATTTCCTCCTGGCAGCCTCCCCTCTCCAGCTTCCTTTATGTCCCCAGGACCATGAGAGGGAGAAGTGATACTTGCAGACTGAGGGAACCTTATCAGCTGACAGCATCCATGGCTCTGCTTAGTGTAGAGGGAGCAGGTGGGAAGTGAAAACTGATCTTTTCAAGTTACAGAGGTTACTCCTTGTCCCTGTTCAGGGGGACAAGTGGCCCTGAACACTGCCTGGACAGTAACCCCTTATGATGTTTTGGCCAGGGGGCCCATCTCCCTTCTCCTTGGACAGAGCCCACCATTCACTGGAGCCAGGGGAGGGTGAAAGAGATTCTGTGGGCGGCGTCTCAGGGTCAGAGGAGAAGCTGAGCCTAAGGGCTTGGGCCAGGCGGAGAGGAGGGGCTGAGCAGGCAGCTGTGGGTGTATCAGCCCAGAACTGGCTCTGCCGGACGGCTGGCCCGTGAGACAGGCCTAGGCGCTGCTGGCCACGTGGGCCCTGGCCAGCCTCAGCCGTGGGAACAGCTGATAGAACCAAACTCCCTCCACCTCCAAGAGAGCCACTCCTCCCCAGCCCTGCTAGCCTTGAATGCCCTCTGGGAACGGGCCAGGGGCAGGGGCAGGGGCAGGGTGGAACACTTTATATCAGGGGCACAGTTCCCAACCATGCCCTATGGTACTTGA